CATCCAGCCAGAGCCACTGCAACCATGACTTGTAAAGAAAATGATGAACATCCCCTTTATTTCACTTAGCACTGAGATTCCCACAGCCCGGGAAAGCCTTTTCCCAGCTAATCAGAGGCTGGTTCTCCAGCAGAGGAACTAAGCATGATTCAGCACATTTAAAAAAGGATTTATACCCATTCTTAGAAGGACAACAGAGGAAGTGTCATCGGAGGGCTAAACAATGGTATCTACTTGCCCTTTGATCTCAGCTGAAGAACACTGTGTCCAACTTCTTTGTCGAAATGCCACTGAATTTCACATTTAAAACCCTTCGGGAAAACATCTACAGCTCCCCTAGACCACACTCTTTCAAATTCTCCCAGCTACTTTTGCTGAGGATAGCTTATAGGCAACAAATTTATTTTCTGTTACAAAAAAAAAAAAGAAGGAAAGAAATCTTGCTAAGTACAGGCAGCCCAGATGAAAAACTGTAGTACTGATCCTGTTTATGAGAGAAAGACAGTAGAGTGTCTCTGGTTACAAACACAAGTAGGGAGTATTCCATTTTTCTTCTAATTTATGTTTCCCAAGAGTAATTCTGTTGAGAATATTGCCAGTATTTTCAGTACAATAAGTTTCTTGTTCCTTGTACTAACACTTACTGATTCCCTTATTCGAGCATGATGTGAGCCTTTCATTTCATTTAATCCTAGCATCTGGAGTGCAACACCTTATTAATTCAAGATAAACCTGAAGTACACAGATTTAAACTCTCACACTTGTCGAGATATTACAAATTAATGCACATGTGGGGAGTTGGTTTTTAAAGGCCTATTAATAAAGCATTTATTATTTATGAATGCCTCAATGAATGTTCTAAATATCTCCAAGCATTTTACTAAACACCAATCAAGCTGGCCAGTGGTGGTGCACACCTTTAATCCCAGCACTGGGAGGCAGAGGCAGGTGGATCTCTGATTTCGAGGCCAGCCTGGTCTACAGAGTGAGTTCCAGGACAGCCAGGGCTACCCAGAGTAACCCTGTCTGGGAAAACAACAAATAAACAAGCATAAATAAAGAATATCTTTTCTAAAGAATCAAGGCTTACAGATCAATGGGAATTTAAAATACAGATGCTGTTTATATTTTCATTAATTCAATCTTGTGGAAACACTGTCAGAGTGCTCCCTATTATGTTAGGCTCCCCCGGTGGATCCATGTGATGTCAGCCTTTGGAAGCTGACATCCTGAAGTGTGCACACACAATGAATAAGCAATTTTAAAAACAGAGAGGGACAGGCAGAGGGAGAAATTCCATGTGATCAGCAGGAGGAAGGAAAGGACCGGGGTGCTGGGGTGATAAAGAAGAGGGGAAGGCATGTAGTAAGAAGGTGTTTGCAGAAGGGGGGAATCTTAACCTAAGACCTAAAGGATATTTCAGGATATCTCTCCAAGGTCACCAAATTGGCAAGCTTGCTTAGTAGACTGCCAAGACATTTTGAGCAGCAGAAAACAAATAGCAAATGACATCTGTGGCCCTAATTTGATGTAAATTCACTAGCTCACCCAGGCACTCCGCTGACACATGGCATCAACAGCAGACAGCCGTCCACATCCCAGCCTGTTTCCAAGATAGGATTTTGAACAGTGAACATCAACAACAATGAGCTGGTCGAATGACCGGCGTTCAGGCTATGAGAGATCCATCCTGTTGATTCATACTTCCTGATGTCGGGCTGGCTGACAAAGCTAGGGTGTTTCAAATGTATTTCATGAGCAAATTATTCCTCTCGTCCCAGCAAAGAGGCGTGCTCACAAAGATGGGTAACTTTCCCCTATGTTTTTAATGAGTAACCTTCTTAGCCCAGTGGATAACGTACAAACACAGTGATGTAAGATTTATCTTTCTGTAGATTCTTTAATAGATGAGTCATGTATTACATCATTCAACATGACACTGACACCAACTAGGAAGCCTGCAGGACTCCACCACCCTTAGAGAATCCACACTGCTGAGCTTCAGGGGCCTTTTCCTCAGATTAAAGCCCCTTCTTAGTTCACAGCCATGGTCATCAGATGCTATCACATTCTAGCCTCTGGTGAAAGCTGTCTTTCCCACTGCTGCATGGATTAAGATGAATACAATTGCTTTTTACTGGCAGGTGGTAATGCTTGTTGCTTGAATTCTACCTATCGAGAAGCGGTTTTCTCCTTTCCCCCTGTGGAGTCTAGAACTGGACTTACAGTAAGGGTAACAGCAGGGAGCCCCATGATGAGATATAAGAGGCTCGGACAAAGAGTGGGATCTTTGTGTTCTGTGTCAGCCTATCTAGGAATTCCCTTGTCCTACTAATGTGCTCACTTGGAACTTTCAGCCTTTAAAAATCATTTATGAAAAAGAAAGTCAGATATGATCATGTGTGCCAGCAATGCCAGTACTCTGGAGGCTCAGGCTGGAGGGTTTCCAGCTCCAATCCAGCCTGGGCTACATAGCGTAAGCTCTCAAAAATGAAGGATGGGATGGAAGAAAGGAAAAGAAAAGAAAAAGGGGGGAGAAATGACAGAGGGAGGGACGGAGAGAGTTAAAAACATACCATGGGAGATATGATGCTAAACTAAATAGCCATAACAAAATTAGTTGCCAACCACCTTCAAACAGTGTGACTCAGAAGCTGTATGCATTTTAAACCACAAAAGGTCAGAAAAGCAAGGAAAGGGGAAATTGGAAGTCAACACACACACACACACACACACACACACACACACACACACACACACAACCATACTTAACAAATTTGTCTCAAACCAGACCAGTAACATTTCAATTACTGCCAAAAACAAAGGTTTCTGAACCCCATCAAAAACAATGGTTTCTGAACCCCATCAAAAACAATGGTTTCTGAACCCTTGAATCATTGGGGCAGCACTTAAAAAAATAGTTTCTGAATTCTGCCCAACCCTGCATATGCCAACTGAACCGCAGATTCACCTGGCACTCTTAAAGCCCACAAGTTACTCCAATGTGCCACAGCGTTCGGAAGCCTTGTTTCTTATGTCTCCAGAGATGATATATGATTTCCTTCAGACATCTTCACCACAGTAGCACACTCAAAAAAAAAAAAAAAAATCTAAGGAACTTTAAAAAATAAAAGATGCCTGAGCTCACCCACAAGATTCTGCCAATCTCTGGGTCTGGGTAGGACCAGCACCCTAGTATTTTATAGGCCCCCAAGTGACACTAAGGTCAGCAGCCAAGGCTGAGGCCTATATGGTACAAACCTCTTGCTTCCACAGAACTGCAACGAGATGCTCTGAGGGGAGGCAACAGTACCAGCTTTCCTTCACTTTACCTTAGGACTCACCCCAAATGGCAATAAAACATGTTGTCTAAAGCAGTCAGGAAACGTAGAGGAAGGAGGTACTGAAGGAGAGAACAGGAATGGAAATTATGAAATCAAAGAACCAGACATGTTAGAATAAGGACAGCACTGGTTCTCTGCAGCCCTGACCACCCCTCCATCACCAAGTTTTATGGACTGGCATGAGAGACAATTTCCTTAGGGTGCTTCCTGGAGGTGGCTCAACCTTCAACTTGATTCCAGTACACTGTGAGAATTACTGTCCAGTCAGACCCCCTTGCAGTCCAAGTAGCCAGGTCGGCAGGCCCTGAGTCTCCACTCCCTCTGAGATTCTGTTTCATGAAACTCCCAGAAGGATTTCAGCCCTACTGGGATGCCGGTAGTTCTGCCTCCAGACTTTCTACTCCATTTGATTGTTACTCTCGGTTCGTTTTTCTTCTACACTCACCCGCTCCCCCTCGGCTTAACTGAGACTCCTAGATACACTTGCAAAGAACTCAGTCAGATACTTAACACTGGATCATTCCTGTAACTACTGCCTCGAAAATGATGGATGTCTCTGACAGGGCCTTGCAGTCCTTCTGACAAGCTCATGCTAACCCATTCTGGGGCCTGGGTACAGGCCTGGGTCTCCCCGGGGTCAGAAAGCCCTCAAAGACCCAGGAACGGCTGCACCCACTCTAGGCGTGTCGACTTCCCCAGGTCTACCCACTGGGGACAGGCCTCCTACATTCCTGGTCTATATATACTAAGTTTATGAAAAAAGTCTAGCGAGGATCGGAAGTACCGCACTGGCTCGGCAGTCCTCCTCACCCCCTATTCTGTTTACAGATGAGAGAAAACTTCAGGGGGGAGTGGGGGACGTGACTCTGTCCGAGTTTGCCACAGAACATTTGTGGCAGAGCCCAATTTAGCCGCCCTCGACTTTCCATTCTGTTGCCTGGCAACGGAGTTCGGTGGAGCTCAGCGGCCAACCCTGGCCCCTACCCTGCACCCCAGCAGCTTGGGCAGCATTGATTAAAGGGTCAGCCTTTTGGGACAATGGCCAAGGGCATGAGAGCGCAGGCATTGGGTGGATTACCCCAATTGAGCTGGAATCTCGCCCCACACTGACGCAAGCCCCGCCTGGCTGGGATTGGGACCCCTGTCACGGTCTTGTGGGACCTTCCTCAGCCACCAAAGCCCTCCTTCTTGAACACCTGTGAGTTTCTTATAAAGCACTCACATCAGGTTCTCTAAGTTCTCAACCGCTGTCGGATTCCCTGACAGTCAAGGTGGGTAAACTAGCACCCCAAGCGTCCGGGGGCAGAGGAGGACAGTTCAGAGGGGGCAAGAGTGCAGAGGGCCTTATCTTACTAATGATGGCCACTCTGGGGCCAGAACTGAGTTGAAGTGGCCCGAGCTAGGAGTAGGAATACAGGGAAAGTGTCCCGAGCTCCCCCCAAGAAGACACCCTCGGCGGGCACCTCGGCGCGCCCCAGCCCCTCCCACCGCAGCGGAGCGCACTCCTTCCCCTCCGCTGCGCAGGTGGCAGGAGCGCCAGCTGTCCCGCATCCCCGCCGCGCGCGCGCGCACTCCTCCACCGCTTCCCACCACTTGAACCCGGGAGACTGGAAAGGAGGGATCTGCTCTCGGCGTGACACTACCCCAAATCCTTACCCAGATTCACAAAGCTCATGACCATGTCCGCGTCGTTGAGGAAAGCGCTGTCCTGCGCGCTGGTCAATGGGGACGCACCGCCGCCGCCGCCGCCGCCGCCGAGCCCCGGACCCAGGAGGTTCTTGCGGTTCAGGGAGTGTGCAGCGCCCGGAGACGGCTGTCTGAGCTGGGACGAGCTGGCCCCTCCGTGGGGCCCGGGCTCCGGTCTGTCTCCCTCCGACACCCCATCCTCTTCGTCGTCGGCGGACAGGGCGTTGTAGAGATCCAGCATGAAGAGCGGAGCGGACTTGAGCCGCCCTGGAGGGGGCTCCTCGCGGGCGGTCTGCTGCTGCGGGAGCACGGGGGACGGAGGCTGCTGGAGGCCGTGCAGGGGGCGCGGCCTGTGCGGGAGCCCCAACACCGACAGGATCTCCTTTTGCATCTCCCGCTTCTCGTGGGTCTTGAGCCGCCGATAGAGGAAGCCCGAAGAAGAGGACTGCGGCGGCGGCTGCTCGGCACGCACCGGGCTCCCGCCGGCTCCCAGCAGCTGCCCCCCGGCGGCGGCCGCGGCTACCGGCAGAGGCGGCCGCAGTGGCGGGGGTCCACAGCTGCACAACAGCCCCCACCACCAGCACAGCCACTGCGCCCTTCGTCCCAGCCCGGGCATCGCCGCCCGGCCCGGCTGCCCCGGCGGGCCACGCGAGGCGTCGAGCGGCGGAGCGAGGCCGGAGCGCGGCGGCTGTGGCCCTTGGCGTGGGCAGTCCCCGCCACCTCTCGGCTGGCTCTCTTCCCGTTCCTGGCACTCAGTCCTTATCTCTCATGGTCATCCGCGGCGCCCCCAGAAGCCCAGGCGGAGGAGAGACGAAGGGGCGACGGCCAGGATCTCCACTCTCCCACGGGTCTCTGGAGGCGCACGGGCTGAGCCAGGTGTGTCCTAGGCAGGACTGCGCTGCAGCCGGCACCCCTGGACGGGTCACGGCGCGGTCACTCGCAATCCGCACACGTGAGCTGCCCTGTGCCCTCGCAGGAGGCTGGCCGAGGGGGACCCGTGGCAACAACTCAGGAGCTGGGGGCGATGCCGGGCACCATCCCTGTGCACGTCCCTCCTGGCTTGTAAGACGATCGTGAAGTTTACCCCGTCGCGGGTCCCTGGCTGTGGCGACCTCGGGTCCTGAAAAGCCAGACTTCTCCGGGTAGCTTTAACTTCCCTCTGTCCCGAAACTCAGAGCCCCTCCACCCTCGGGCACCGTCGTTCCCCCTCGGAATCTCCACACGCCTCCCCAAGTGGAGGCGGCCAGGATCTCGCTTTCCGCTCCGCGGTCTCTCGGATACCCGGAGGATCCCACTCTCCGAGGCGATGGGAGAGACGAGGACCCGGGCGCAGAGCAGAGGCTGCGGCGTCGGCTCGGGAATTCGCAGTCTCCCGCCTCTGAGCGCTCCGCTCCCGGCAGCCGCCAACGTGGGCTTTCTGCTGCGCGTCTCGCTCAGGTACCGCACTCAAGCCCAGGAATGCCCCGCCCTTCTCCGTAACGGACAGGCTACCACCCAATGGAGAGACGATTCTTGTGGATATTTACATAGACCCACCCCTTCTTTCACCCTCCCTTCTCCCGAGGCCTCGCCTCCACCGCGCGTAGGTTTCTAGCACAGAGAATTCTTGGAGGCACTGGGAGTAGCTTGGGCGGGTAAGAAAGGTAAAGAGGTCATTGCTAAGAAGAAAGATCTGAGCACGACCCCGATCTAAAGCTTTCTCTGCTACTACCTCGTCAAAGGTCAATTATGTTAAATATAAGTAAACACAGTTATTTAATCCATGCAGTTACTGAAGGAGAAAATAATATGACAGTTTTCTCCTTCCCTGCTTGGTTTCTCTTATTGATGGAATGTAGGCGTTTAGCGGACACGTGGCTCTCAAAGGCAGCTGCTGTAAGTTAAGACACACCCTGCGAGGAAGCTGCTCACACACACGCTGCTAAGAGGGCCGAGGACAAGCCAGATTAGAGTCCTGAAGGTTTCCAGTCGGGTATTCCAATTTATCTCTTCATTTGGGCTGCGTTTGGCTTCTTAAACTAAAACCCAAATGAAAGAGGCTTTAATCTGCTAGTATTACTAGGAAAGCCTCCCCTGTGTTCTTTCTAATCTCGCAATGCAGTTTGTCAGTTGGCATTGCATTTTAATGTACTGAAATACAGTATAAGTTACACAGTGCCAGGCAAAACATAAAAAGGGTGGTAAAGATAGTCTCGATGAGGGCAGGGGCCTGGAAAGGATGGAAAATGGCCAGGATAATAAACAGGGCCCTAACACAGGTTGCTTCGATCCTTGAACAAACTGGGACCTCTTCCAACACCACCCTCTACCAATGAAGACGCAAATTCATTTTCTTCAACACAATTCAAATGCCCGCTCATTTGTGGATGGTATAAGCAAATCCACTTTAAACATTAGATTCTTCCACCTGGGGAGAATGTAAGGATTAGGAAACAAAAACTTCACCAACTTTCAGTTTTCATTTACATGGTCTAAAACATTTTAGGTCATCGATACTTGGTCTAGGATGCCAGGACCCTGAGAAATCAGAGGCCTGCACCATTTCTTCTGTCTAGGACATCCTACAAGTATAAAATCACTGCTGTGTTGCCCAAAAGGCCTGGAGCACCGCTTAGAAGATCCAAAGTCTAACAAGTAATGCAGGATTCTAGCCGAGGGCCTCCTCCTCTCGTAGACTCAGCAACGCCTCCTTTGTAAGAGGCCTGGCAAGGCACATATGGAGCAAAAGAAGCTCAAGTTATAAGGGCAGAGAAGACAGCATTGAAATCTGTGGAAAGAAATAGAGAAACAAATGAACAAATAAACCTTGAGGGCACTCCACAGGGCAGTGCCATTTAAAACACAAAAGTGAGGTTGTGACTCATCTGGGGTGTAGGATTCTATGGAGATAAGCCTTGTAGAGAACACATATGTGGAGCTACACTACTGAGCCCTCATTTGGGGGACCCACGTAGTGTGAGTCTAAAATAACACTTTGTGAAGTATTTTCAATCACAACAACAGAATCCCTAATTCAGGTGTCATGGACTCCCCAACCCTACCAAGAGGGACTCTGTTCTTATAAAATAGTGCTAGAACAAGGGAGTGTTTGGGGGTGCCTTCAGGCAGTGAGTATGAGAGTCTGGGGAAGCATGAAAAAAAAAAGGTATGACGTGAAAGGTTATAAGGACAGTGATGTCTAACTGAGGGTCACAAAAGATGTGTTCTTACATGTCTACTGTGCCGAGGCAGGCAAGCACTTGGATCCATCTGGATTCAAAGTGAATAAAGAGGTACTATCCTGAGATTCCAATGACTTCAAAGTGGGACTACAGCTTCTCTATGTCAACTGGAACTCAGGGCGCAGAGAGAACCTTAATTGGTATCCCTCTGACTCCCTGCTTTTCCTGACCACATCCCATTAGAGACTCTATGTGGTCCAGAGGTCTTAGATCAGGGGACTTGACAAGGCACATGTGGGATTCAAGTGGGTGCAGAATAACGTTGAAGGGACTTGAGCAGGTCTGGCTTCTGGATTCACTGGAACCTGTGAACACTTGGAGAAAATCAGAGGTCACTTCGCCCCCTGCAGGACACCAAAATATTACTGGCCCCTTCCTCTGTAAACCCAGACAAGCTTCATTAAGTTCTCTCTGAGCATCTCTCAAGCATATGGGGGAAAAGAGGAGGAATTCCGTCAAGAAGCCAAATGTGAGAGCCAACCCATAGCAAACATCTGGCTGCTTGGCTGACATTTCATGCAGATGGCCTCAGTCTCTGGAAATAGGTTGTCTGTCCCACCCTTTCCCCACTTCGTGAAGAAGTGAAGATGGCCTCACCATAAAGCACAAATTTGTTCCACACGTTCAATGATACTAGGGACAGGGTGGGAATCCTCACTGGGCACAGAATAGCCCACAGAAAATTCTTTAAATTAGGATTTTCAAAATTGTTCCTTATATATTATGGAGAGTTGTATGTTTGCAACACACTTGGCCTTATAATTTCTGATTTGAAAAGTGACTGCTTATTAATTTACCATGCTAAATATTCTTTTTTGAAACAATGCTGCTTATTTATTTAATACATGAAATACTCTATACTTCCCTATGGATTGCTGTAGTAACAATATACTACAAGTAGCTGAGTGGTAGTTACCCCTTTAATCCCAGTACTCAGGAGGCAGAAGCAGGTGGCTTGAGGCCAACCTGGTCTACAGAGCGAGTCTCAGAACAGCTGGGGCTACATAGAGAAACCCTGTCTTGACAAAAAACAAAAATAAAAAAAGCCCCACAAAACAAACAAACAAACGAAAAATATACTCCAAGTGCAGGCTTTGATTTTGTATTACATCACCTTCCCTAAAAGCTGTAAGTTGTTGCCTTCAGAAGTCAACATAAAAGTCCTATATGTGGCTGTGGTGGTTAAAAGCCTGAGCTCTGCCCTCCTCAAGTCCCTGGGATGCTCCAGTAGAAATACTAAACTTTCATCATTATAATTAGCACAAGGTTGGAGGAGTTTAACATTAATTCCAAAATATAATAAACCCACTCACATTTTAAAAATACCAGTTTGGGATTAAGTGAAAAGGAACTATGTTAAGTAAATGTTTGCTGAGCACGAGAAACCGAACATTTGAGTGTTAAATAAATATTGCTTCTGAAAGCTACACCTGTAAGGCAAACTTCAAAATACGTGTCTCATCCAAAAGACTGCGGTCACATGTACATTCCCTCACACTCTCCCCTCACTGTCTATTCAAAAATGCTGGGCATTCACACTTCAAAATGTCACTCAGACCATCACATTTTCCTACTCGGAGGACATCTGCTGGCAAAGTGAAAAACTAATATATAACTCTGTTTCCAGAAATTTTTTTTTTCCACACTGTAACCCAAATAGCAAATCTGTTATTTGTTGAGTTTCACTTTTCACACACTCTGAGATCTCAAGATCCTAGAACCCGAACTATCTCTATAATACAGAACAACAAAGTACTAGCTGAATCCAGGTGGTTCATTAAGTCATTTCTAAATCTTTCATTGGCCAACTGGCATGTGTAAATGAAGTCACTTTTTTTTTTTTAAGCTGAACCAAACAATACCCCTTTTCCCTGCCTAGCTTTCCTATCCCTGAGGAGTCTTGTTCTGAGAAAGCACTGGGCATGTGTTTGGTTGGGTAGAGCAGGGAGTCCCCTGACCCATCAACCTCTAGGTTTCTTGGCATTCTATATGACCCAGTATTCCAGGAATGTCTCTACCTACTAGCAGGCTACATGATAAGATGGCATGTTGTGCTATCAGTCCTCTTGACCATGCTGGTGACATGTGAGGCCAGCAAATCACCACACTGAGTACACTCAGGTCAGAATGAAAGTCATGTGGGGTGCATAGCTGTGATCCCAGCACTGGGGATGCTAAGGCAGGATGGACTTGAATTCCAAACCAGCCTGGGCCACACACTGAGACCTTCTTTCAAAGCAAACAAAAAGAAAAGAAAAGAAAAAAACCTAACAACAACAACAACAACAACAAAACAAACCTAAAACCCTAAAAACCAATATCACTGCCTTTCAGCTATGAAGGAAGGGCAAGACTACATACCCAGCCTCAGGCACTCAGTCATTTAACAAATGTTCAAATATCTGCCATGTGGTAGGCAGTGTCCCAAATTGGAGAAACCAAATAGTCAGAGACCTGTGCCCACCTACAGCCTCGATTGGGAAATGGACAAGATAAGAAACTACATTGGGATTAGCAGTCTACCACAAATTTGCTGGGGATTCTACTCCAGGTGCTACACCTATGCAGACTGTTTTACAGTGTGTTACAAAGGGGACTTCAGAGACAGAATTAAAGTTGTTCGATGGGTGGCCTAAAGATGGGGCTGGTCCTGGATTTTCCAAGGGGCCCAGTGTAACCTCAAAAGTCCTTAAAAAGATAGAAAGGCACAGCCAGGGAGAGAGAGACTTTAAAGGTGAAGTGGCAACAGGTTAGGGAATGCAAGGAGCACAGCTAACAGGTATTAAGTAAACAGCAATCCGTCCCTAATTCCTAATCGAGTCAACAACCCAGAGGAACCTTCACTCAGATTCCAGGTCAGGGCCTACAGATACCAGCCCAGGGCAGTGACCTCTTGGGACCTTTGCACAAAGAAAGGATCCACATAACTCAGGCTTCACATCTTCAGAACTGTGACCGGGAAGTGAGGTTGTTTTAAGTTACTAAATGTGTGCTCTTTCAGAAATAAGACCAAAAAATAAATAAATAAATAAATAAAATAAAACACCAACATGTATTTATTTGGATGATAAGTCGTATGGAGAATGTGTAGACAGGGAAAGGGCTAGAAGTATATTGATACTCAGGAAAGGCTTTGCAAATAAAGCAGCTTTATGTGAAGCTCGGGTAGAGTAAATGAAACCAGCCAGGAGGCTATATATATATATATATATATATA